CTGGAATTATAGTTTGCACAACCATGCACAATCCCCTATTTTGTTTTTTCTTTTTCTTTGTGTGTGTGTGTGTGTGTGTGTGCAAATGGAATCCGCAGCCTTACAGATGCAAAAGAAATGTAAATAGGAGAGATGGCTCAGAGGTTAAGAGCACTGGCTGCTCTTCCGAAGGTCCTGAGTTCAGTTCCCAGCAACCACATGGTGGCTCACAACCATCTGTAATGAGATCTGGCGCCCTCTTCTGGCCTGCAGGGATAAGTGCAGACAGAACACTAAGTACATTAAATAAAGAAATAATAAATAAATAAATAAATAAATAAATAAATAAATAAATAAATAAATAAATAAGAAATGTAAATAGTACCACATCCCTATTCATTCATTCACTCACAGAGTCCCATGTCGCTATGACTGGCCTCCAGTTTACATGTATGGGAGCTGACCTTGAACACCTAACCCTCACATCTCCACCTCCCCAGCACTGGGACAATGGAGCTGCAGTACGAGGCCTGATGTATCTGGTGTTGGTAACGCTTTCTGTACACTAGGCAAGCACTCCCCCCTCTGAGCCACAGCTGACCCCAATTTTCCCGGACCCCACCCCTGCTTTCCAATCCTCCTGCCTCTAATTTAGGAGTGTTGGGATGACAGGCATGCACCGTCACACCCAAGCATTTTATTTTTGAGACAGTCTTGCTAGTTTTCCAGGCTGTTCTTGAAGTAATTCTGTAGCCCAGACAGTATCCTCCTGAGATGACAGGAGGCCTGGGCTGCCAAAAACGGCTTATCTTTCCCCTTCCCAGTACTAAGACTACTACTGTCTGGAGGTCATCAGTGAGCGTAGGACATGGTGCGGTGGATTTATAATCCCAGCCCTCTGGAGGTGGAGGCAGGAGGATTAAAATTCAAAGCAATAGCCTGGGGCAATAAAACTGTCTTAATGAGACAGACCCACACACACGGAGAGAGGGAGACAGAGACAGAGACAGAGACAGAGACAGAGGTGTGTGGTGGCCCATGCCCTCAACACTCGGGAGACAGAGGCAGGGGATCTCTGCAAATTAAAGCCAGCTTGGTCTACAGAGTGAGTTCCAGGGCACCCAGGGCTACACAGAGAAACCCTGTCTTGAAAAACCAAAAGAGAGAAAGAAAAAAAAGTCTCTTTAGGGCTGGAGAGGTAGGTCAGTGGTTAGAGTACTGGCTGTTCTTCCAAAGGACCAAGGTTCAATTCCCAGCACCCACATGGCAGTTCGCAACTGTAACTCCAGTTCTGAGGGACCTCACATTCTCACACAGACATATATAAAGGCAAAACACCAATGCACATAAAATAAAAATAAATTATTCAGAGAGAGGGAGAGAGGAAAAGAGATTGATTCCAACAAGTGGCCCAAAAATGCAGGGCATGGATCTTAGAAAGATGTGTAGAAAGCCCAGGTCTGCTTAAGCTTCAACTAAAAATCCAACTACAGTCCAGGATCATGTTTCCCCTTATCCTAGCCTCAGTTTACCTCCACAGACAGGCAGACAGGAGCAGAGCAAGAAGAGTGAGCTAAACCGGGTGTGGCAGCCCACGCCTTCATTTATTTATTTATTTATTTATTTATTTTTTTTTTTTAAATTTATTTATTTATTATGTATACAGAAGAGGGCGCCAGATCTCATTACAGATGGTTGTGAGCCACCATGTGGTTGCTGGGAATTGAACTCAGGACCTCTGGAAGTGCAGTCAGTGCTCTTAACCTCTGAGCCATCTCTCCAGCCCCCATTTATTTATTTTTAATGTTTATTTATTTGTTTATTTTATATATGAGTGCTATGTTTTCGTCCATACCAGAAGAGGGAATCAGATCCCATTGTTTGGGTGGGAGTTCCGCCTCACACCGCTCCTCCCCAAACCTGCCCTTTCAAAGCCCACCAAACACAGCTCCTCCCCCCAGAGAGGCCCAGGACGACTCCCACAGGGGATATATAAGCGGCATCCCCAAACACAGACTCATGGTCCTTGGTTCTTCAGGTCTCGTGTCACTGTCTCCTCTCTGCAGGGCTGGGGAATCGCCCGAGAGTACTTTACCCATTAAACCTGGGCTTTCCAATTTGGTCTGATTTGGTTTGTTGCAACCGGGCAGAGAGGCCTTCAGGAGGCCTAAAACTTATCACCCATTACACGTGGTTGTGAGCCACCACATGGTTGCTGGGAATTGAACTCAGGACCTCTGAAAGAGCAGCCAGAGCTCTTAACCTCTGGGCCATCTCTCCTGCCCCAGCCCACGCCTTTAACCCCAGTATTTGGAAGGCAGACGCAAGCTGATCTCTGAGTTCAAGGACAGCCACGGTGGTGACACAGAGAAACCCTGTCTTGAAGGAAAAAGAGAGAGAGAGAGGCGTGAGCTGGACATAAAAGTGGCATAATCCCAGCTCCTCCGTCCATTCGTTTGCAGCCCCCAGGTAATCCGTTTAGGTGTGGGCCGCCTAACATGGAAGCATGCCCGCCTGAGGCCCCGCGAGGACCACCCCGGGCTAGGACCGGCTTTCATGTGGAAGACCTACTGCAACAACGGGGTGGAGGGAGAGATGCCAGCCAGTGCAAAGGCCCTGAGGTGAGTTGCTGAACCTCTAGAGAGGCCTCAGGGCAGAAACTCAACAGATTTCCTCTCCTTAAAGTGAAGACCCGTGGCCCCCAACTGCACATTCCAAGGTGCCCAAGCAGGCCTGGCCTTGCTGATGTCACAGGGTGAGAATGATTGCAGCACTGAGCATTGCCCTCCCCAACCGGCTCAGGGTACCTGGGGCACGGTGACCTCAACCCTGACTTCTTCCTGGGGTCAGCCTCCTGTTCCCCAGGGATGAAGTAGCAGGGCCTATAACTCCAAGACATCAACAGCTCCTCAGATCTTTGTGGGCTGGAAGAACCATGGACTCGAGTTCTTCCCCTGTCCCTTATTATTCAATCCCACTGGGGGATTCTGGTATCTAGAGCTGAGGTAAACATGGTGTGGGGTAGGGGGAGAGTGGAGGGGAGCTGAGGCTGTGACTCAAGTCTTGCCTAGAATCCCCCAGTGAGGTGCTGGGGGCGTGGTCAGGGTGGAGCCCCGCCTAGAATCCCCAGGGAGGGGCTGGGGGCGTGGTCAGAGTGGAGCCCCGCCTAGAATCCCCCAGTGAGGGCTGGGGGCGTGGTCAGCGTGGAGCCCCGCCTAGAATCCCCAGTGAGGGGCTGGGGGCGTGGTCAGGGTGGAGGCCTGAAGCCCAATCCTGAAGTCTTCACAATAAAAACCTGGAGTGGGGGGTGGGGGGTGGAGGGCTGGGGGGAAGGCGTGGGGGGGGTGGGGGGGCGGGAGTGTGGAGAACAAGGGAATTCGTGGCTGATATGTAAAATTAAATTAAATTATAAAATAAAATTTAAAAATAAATTAATTAATTAAAAAAAAAACAACCCTGGAGTCAGATATTGAGGGTGAAAGCTGAAAGATCAGAGAACAGAGCAGCCAACCACCAGGGACCTCTAACCTCTTCGAAATCTCACACTAAATGGGCAGTAGATCCTGTCTCCACCTCCCTAGTGCTGGGAGAATTCAGAGACGGGAAGTGGACTTGAGAGTCCTGGAAGCAGGTAAGATGACTCTCCTGGGGATGATGGAACTCTCTGGAGTTTGACAGGTAAGTGTTGCCCAACGCTTGTGCACTAATAACTCAGTTTATACTTTAAATGAGTGATTTATGTGGTATGCAAATTATATTTCAATGAGCTGTTATTAAATTAAACCAAGTCAGACACCTCCCAGGCGTGCGTCCTGGCCTCTCATACAGGGAATCTAAAAATGTCCAGGGGCGGGTCCAGGGGCTGCAAGGTGTTCACCGCGGAATGGGAGCTTCGAGTTTCAGTCACGGAACAAAAGTGGCTTGGTGGCATTTGGTGCTGTGTGCTACATTGTTTGCCCAGCATTGTGCCTGGACTTTCTCAGTGTACCCCCTTGCCAACCTTCCTCACAGAGGAAGCACTCAAGTGTGGACGATCAGGAAGGTCAAGGGGCCTTGTGCTATATGTATGTGGTGCGAGCAGCAGATGGACCCAGGCACGGACATGCTGGTCCATCGCATCCTGGACACCCCCCGCCCCCCAGCGTGACCTGCCCAGGGCCAGGAAGACGGGATCTACTGAGCCACCAGGAAGGAATCCTGGCATCCTGAAGGACTGGTTGTCTTTCCAGAGGGCTCCCCAAAAGGTAAACTTGTCAGCAAACCTCACCCTAGTGCTATTTAAAGGTGCCGCCTGGGGCCAGGGGGAGGGAACTGGCGTTGAGGACCGAGGTTCCCCAGCACCAGGGACTCTAGGCTGCACCTGAAGGCCATTGCACCCATCCTCAGAGCCACTGGCTGCCGGGCAGGTGCTGAGGACCACGGCTGCCACGGATGTCTCCCGGGGATGGGTGTGGCTGCGATGAGGAGCAGGTGTGGGGGTGGACACACCGCCCTAATTCTGCTGCCCAGACGCTGTCCTCTTGTCCTCAGTGCCCTTAAGCTGGTGGTGACATACCTGTCTGTCCCTCCCGCCCAAACACAGGTTCCTGCATCTGTCTCGCTGCCCACACCATTCACCCCATCCCTTCCCTGTCCGTTCTTCCATGGCAGAGCCCCTCCGGAGCGGTGGCTTCAGAATCTCTAAGACAAGGGAGGACACACTGTCCCGTGTGTGCTCAGCCCAGCTGGCCGACTGACACCTTCTGAGATCTTGTTACCTCACTGTCGTGTGCCCGTCTCTTGCACAGTCTTCTCGCTCCCTGTCTCCTGTCTCTCTGGTTTCTGTCTCTCTCCATCTCCGGTCTTTCCGTCTTCAATTTCTGTTCCTCTGCGATCTCGTTCTTGTGTCCCCCTCTCCATTCCCGCACCCTGACCCCCCGGGGGGCGGCGACCCGCCTGTGGGACAAACCGGCACGCAGAACCCGCGCGTGGATGCCCCGGCCGGCGGCCCCGCCCCCGGCGCCCATTGGACAGCCGCGGCGCTGGCCCCGCCCCCGACCGTGCAGCTGGGCCACCGCGCGCTGGCGGGCACAGGTCGGGATGCGCCGCCGCCTCTGGCTGGGCCTGGCCTGGCTGCTGCTGGCGCGGGCACCGGGTGCCCCGGGCGGGTACCCGCATCTGGAGGGCGACGTGCGCTGGCGCCGCCTCTTCTCCTCCACCCACTTCTTCCTGCGAGTGGACCCCGGTGGCCGGGTGCAGGGGACGCGCTGGCGGCACGGCCAGGACAGTGAGTGCTGGGGCAGGAGATGGGCACACCTCCTGTGGGCTCCCGGGCAAGGCAGGGGCCTCCGGGTGGGGTCACTGGCCTATGTACAAGGTCAAACTGTGCATGCCAGTGGGACTATGAGGCAGGAAACCTGCTCCTGGGATTGCGACCTGCCTGAATTGGGGTTCGCTCTGTTCCCAGACACCCCTATTTGGCAAATGAGGTAAGAGGGATGCCCTGATCTCAAGGTCCTGCTAAGAGACCAGGAATGTAGCTGGGTCCAGACAGAACCCTGCTTTGCATACAGAAGACCTTCGATAAGTGCTTGTGGCGTGTATGTGGCGTGTATGTGGCGAGAGGAAAGGCCACGGTGAGGAGGAAGCTGGAGGTGATGGAGAGGCCACAGCCAGCTCCCCTGCTGCTAAAGTCTGGCAAGAGTTCCTGGGAGGGTTTGAGCTCAGCCCTGGGCAGGTGACAGGGCACTGCCCATCCCAGTGGCTTTCATCTGGGTTCCAAGGCCCTCATTAGGCCACACAGGATGAGGGCTGTGACAGGGGACTGGCTGGGCAGGTCCATCCGTGGTAGCACAGCGAGGTGGAGTGGCCCCAGGCTGGGGAAGAGGCCCAGCTGAGTGACCTGGGCCCTTCACTACTTCTGAGATTTAGATCCCACCTAGACAGGGATGGGGGTGACAGGTGATGGGCTCTTCCCTCCTTAATGTGGTAGTGACAGTGTGGTGCTGGCCAAGAGGATGCAATGCTAACCAAGAGGGCCCACGGTCACTCCGTAGGTGATAGGGACTGTGGCAGAGTGGTGTGACTGTGTCCCAGCATGGGGCCTCAAGCTTCTGGAGAGGGCCTAGAGGCCTGTGGTGGGATTTACTTCCCTGAACCGGTTCCTGCAGGGAAGCTGAGACCCAGGCAGGTAGGGCTTGCCAGGGCAGATGAGTCCAAAGCTGGCTTCTCCAATCCTGGGCCTCAGTTTCCCTTCTGGAAATGTGTACAGTTGGCACCCTCCACCCAGGGTTGTGTTGTTGCTATGAAGCAGAGGGCATACAGTCGGTGCCCAAGCATGTCAGTGTCAGCGATGGCCTGGCTCCCCAGGTCTTTTCTGGCTAGCGCCTGGCGGCTGTAGACAGACTCCTCTTCGTGCAGGGAAGCTCCGTGTTTGTTGTGGAGTCCTAGTCTCCAGGGTCCATGCCAGCTGGGGTTGGAGACAGCCCAGTGTGGCTGCCGCCTGACTGTCCTCTTCCATCCCCTCAGGTATTGTTGAGATCCGCTCTGTCCGTGTGGGCACTGTGGTTATCAAGGCTGTGTACTCAGGCTTCTACGTGGCCATGAATCGCAGGGGCCGCCTCTACGGGTCGGTGAGTGATGGGCAGTGGGCAGCCACCGGGTGGTGATGGTTGGTGGGGCCGACAGCCAGCCTCACATACCCGCACTGTAGCGGGCCTACTCTGTGGACTGCAGGTTCCGGGAGCGCATCGAGGAGAACGGCTATAACACGTACGCCTCGCGACGATGGCGGCACCGCGGCCGACCTATGTTCCTGGCGCTGGATGGCCAGGGCGTTCCTCGGCAAGGCGGGCGGACACGGCGGCACCAACTGTCCACACACTTCCTGCCAGTGCTGGTCTCGTCGTGAAGGGCTTGCTGATGGTTGAGGAGGCATGGGCAGCGGAGAAGGCCTGGAAGATCTGGAGTTGGGCAGCAAGGGGCCCAGGCCAGAGATCCTGGGCCCACACATGCCTTTCCTTAGGTCACAAGCTGTGTGTCTGCTGGCTGCCAGGCATGGAAGTATGGCAGGGCCCCTCAGGCGAGGCCACTCAGGGGGTACACAAAACTGGCAGTTTCCATCCATCTAGTCTGGAGGTGAGGGCATGGCTGGGCTCAGCCTGGCATGTGCTCTGGGAACAGCATGGAGAGGTTTGGAGGTGGGGACGCACCAGGTGGATGAGGAAAGTCAAGACAGGGTCAGGGAGGGTGGACACGTTGTGGAGGGCGTGGCCCAGGTTGGCGGTAGTAGTGACATAGACCTGTGCCATGTGGTCAGAGTAGGGTTGGAGCTAAGAGCACTTCTTGCTCTTCCAGGGGGACCGAGTTTATTTCTCCCACGAGGCCATTCACAGTCACGTGTATGTCCCACTCCAGAGGATCCAACTTCCTTTTCTGGCCTCTACCAGCACCTGCACTCAAGTGCACATAACTTGCTCCCCATACACATAAAAAAGACACACACACTTTTTTTTTTTTTTTTTTTTGAGACAGTCTCTGCATATTCTTGGCTGTCCTGGATCTCGCTCTGTAGACCAGGCTGGTCTCAAACTCACAGAGATCTGCCTGCCTCTGCCTCTGCTTGATTAAAGGTGTATGCCACCACTCGGGGCTGATGTGGGGCCTCTGGACACTAGATGAGTTCACCATGTTCCCAGGAGTCACTGGGAGAGCCCAACCTAATCTCACCTAGATCACATCCTGGGGACACCAGTGTCAGCTCCTGTCCCAGAACCATCAACAATAAATGTCGTAAGCTTTGGCGAGCATGGTTGCTCGTCACAGAGGCAGGACACAGACACTGTGCTGACAGCTTTCAGAAGGGACACTCGAGTCCTAGGCAGGGACAGCATCTCCAGGGAATGGCGGTCTGCACGGTACCTGTGGGTGGCATCCTCTCTGCTATCAGGCCGTCAGGGTGGGATGTGGCTGGCAGCTTCGTCATTTAAGCACCCCAACCCAAGGAAGCCCAGACTCGTGCCCCAGACCATGGCAGAGTAGAGGGCAACCAAAGGTTAGTTGGCTGACACCATGGCATCGCCAGGGCTGAAGTAACACACGGTCCGCTGGGCTCTTCAGGTCCTAAACTTGAGGACAGGGTGGGCAGGTCACACCGTTGCTGAAAGCAGTGACTTGCTCTGGCTGTGGGGGTGCTCTGGGTCTCCTCCATGGAAACAAGGAACAGGAAGGCTGGGGACCTGCTCACCCACGGCAATGCTGGTGTGGCGCTGGGCGAGTGAGCCCTCACAGATGCTGCAAGTCTGTCACCCCCATGAAGGCAGGGAAGTGGTATGTGGATGAGACTGCAGGGTCCTGGTCACAGGCCCCACCACGTGGTCACCCACACGCGGGGCTTGCAACAGACAGCTTCCCACCCAAGCAGCCCTCAAGTTCAAATTGCCTACTGTGGAACACTGCCAAGGCCTGGGTACCTTCAGGCCTTTGCCAGAAGCATAAACCCACCCCGTGAGCTGCCCCACCGGGCAGTCATGGACACCCTGGCTGAAGGAAGACGCCAAGCCATGGGCTCTGCTTTTTGAGTAGGTGTATTTTAAATAGCTTTCCAGATAACACACATTTCCCTTTAAAAAAAAAAAAAAAAAGTCTGCTGGAGCAGTTTGTTCCTGGGTCTGCTGGTCACCCTCATGGTCCCGAGGCCGGCGCTGGCTGGGTGCTGGGCCTGGCCTCTCAGGGCATGTGGTAGGCTGGGCCTGGCGACAGTTCTGCTGACTCTCCACAGATCATGCATGGCCGCACGTGGCTCAAACGTCCATTTATTTCAAAGCAGTAATAATTTAAAATCATAAAAACCCTTCTGCCGCAGTTGAACATTTGGAGGGTGAGGCCAGAGACGCTGAGGGCGCCTGCTGGGGACATGGGGCCCACGCACGCACGTGCCTCCAAACAGGAGCGGCCATGGCCAAGTCCGAGCCTGTCGCAGCCTGGGGCCCGCCAGGTGCTGCTGGCCACCACGGGGCAGCACCTCTAGTCCACGGCCATGGCGGTGCTGGGGCACCTGGGGCTGGTGGGATGGCCGAGCCCGGAGGGTGGGTGGCCAGGTGGGACTCAGGAGTTGCTTGTGGCATTCTCGTTGCTGGGCGAGCTGGACGAGGATGAGGACGAGGATGACGAGAAGCCCACTCCGGTTAGGCCTGGGGGATTGGTGGCCGTGTTCTGTCCGGTGAGGCTCTTGCGGCAGACCGGGCAGCTGTCATGCTTGAGAGGACAGAGGAGGAGTTAGGAGGGGCCGGGTCTAGGTGAGAGGGCCGGCAGGCACAGCAGGAAGTCAGGGACAGCACCCACGGCAATGCTAACATGCTCTGACCCAGAGGTCCTTTCTGGATCTGGGTGAGGGTGGAGTAAAGCCAGGGCGAGCGTGAGGTCAGCCTCAGGGTCCAGGTGTGGGTCGAGGTCACAGCTGGACCCAGGCATGGCAAAGGCAGGCTCAGAGTTAAGGGAAGGAAGGAACGGTCTGGTGAGTTATGGCTAGTGTGAGGGCCGCGGTTAGGATGAGCACAAGGTTTCTGATTGGCGGGCAAGCAGACTAGGGTTAAGGTCAGAGCTGGGTCTGGGTGTGCGGGCTGCCTCCGAGTGTAGGGCAGTCACCTGCTCGAGCCAGGGCACAATGCAGCTGTCGTGGAACAGGTGGTTACAGGGCAACTGCCGCACGCTCTCCCCCAGTCCGTAGTCATCTTTGCACACGGGGCACTCCAGGCCCGAGCCTGCAGAGGAAGCGGGTCGGTGAGAGGCAGGCCGGGGCAGGGGAGGTCCCCGGGACTCACCACCACCCTGTGAGCATACCCACGTGTTCCTCTGTGACGGGGACTGTGGGGAGGGCTTGAATCTTCTCCTTGTCTGCGGGTGGGGGGCCCGTGTTCTCAAACTGATTGAGGAGCTGAAAGACAAAAAGGAGCAGTAGCCTGAGGGGGGCATGGTTCCCAATGGGGTGGTGGGGCGTGGGGAGTCTCCACCTGCCCAGCTCTGCAAGGCTGCGACCAGCCAGACACACCAGGCCCATTAAACCTCTGGGCTGTCTGAGGCGTACACAGGCCACTGTTCTTCCTAGAACAGGCGTCCTTCAAGAGGCGGGGAAGAAGGGACCGACCACTGAGCTGTCCGACACCAGAGGGCAGGAGGCAGTGGCCTTCAGTGCGCAGAGCCTGCACCCCATCTGCCTCATTAGGCTTCCCGGCCCCCGTAGACGCTGAGTGGCTGGCTGTACCTGTGTGATGATGGCGTCCAGGCCGTTGGCCCCCCAGGCGTAGTCCATTGGGTTCGAGTGCAGGACGCCCCTGGGGGGGAGAGGCCGGGTCAGGGGATGCAGGGTGGGAGGGGCCGGGCACCCGTCCCCTACTCACCAGGGACCAAGGCCCAGGCTGGGTACAGCGGCCGGGGAGATGATACCGTTCACGAGCTGCTGGATGATCCTGTGGGAGAGACGGTGTCACAGGGGCCTGCAGCGGCCAGCACCACCTCACACACAAGAGGCTTGCTCTGCAGCCCCTGCAGGCAGCTAGACTTGAACTGGCCCCATCTTTCTGTCTCCACCACTCAAGTGCTGGGAAGACAGGCATGTGCCCTCCTACCCAATGGGAGGAAGCCATTGGTACAAACTGTCTCATAGGGAATCGCAATAGCCAGAGGTCACGGGGCACGGCCTCAAGGTCGTGGACCCCAGCCTTATTCCACTTCCACGGGGGCATGGGGACGTAGTGCTCAGCTCCTGTGGGGGACCCAGGCTCCTGTCTAAGGAGGGAGGTGGCCAGATGGCTCCCACGGGTAGCCAGGTGAGGCCCTTAAGGAAGCCTGGAGCCGCAGGGTCAGTGGAGTGTGCTTGTTTCCACGCCTCCCTGTGGCAGTGAGGCCCTCAGCAGCTACCCCAGCCCACTCACCCTTCCAGTGTGGGGACACCTTCATGCCGGCCAGTGGCTCGCCGGGCGGTAAGGCGAGCACGGGGCTGCCGGGCCCCATACCGATGCCGAGACTGGTGCTCTCTCTCCCGCCGGCTCTCAGGGTCCCTGCCATCATCGGCCTGTGCCCCAGGAGGGAACGTGGGAATCTCAAAGCTATCATCGAAGATGCCGAAAGCAAACTGGCTGTATCCCTGCGGCAGCGTGAACAGGTGCTGGTCCACACTCTGTGGAGAGGACGTAGTGAGGCCGCCAGGCACCACAGACAGCGAAGGGGGAAGGAGTCCACTGACCAGCCCCCACACGGGGGACAACTGTCAGGGCTAGGAAGAGCACCAAGTACGGGATGGGTGTGTGCCCTCCTGTAGGACAGGGGAGGATCTGGGGACCAGGGACCCTGACTCACCTCAAATGGCTGCCGGTTCTGGTCGGTGGGGGCTGTGGAGGGGGCAGAGCCGTTTTCTGTGTTCCTGGGGAGAGAGAGAGCCTGTCAACTGCAGCTGAAGCCCCTCCTAGGTCCTCAGGGCAAAAAATGCCAAGGTATGGCAGCCCTCCACCCTCATTCACTACCTGGTCTCTTCTGGAAGCTCCTCGATGAAGCCAGACTCGCACCTTGGGCAGATGTAATCCTGTGGGAGAGGCAAGGGTCAGGATGGCATCTATCCCAAGCCACGGACGGCAGTCTTGTCTAGCCTGGGCCTGAGGCACACAGGGCAGTGAGGACAGTAATGGCCTCCGCCTCCTACAGCCTAGTGACTCCAGCACCCTGCTAGGTCTCCCCAAGCCTGGATTCCTCCAGTGACCTCCCAGTCCCAGTGAAGACCCAGACACAGTGAGCACCCCACAATGACAGGACCCCCGGTCCCTTCTTCAGACACATAATGGTGGGACATGGACAGCTAGAAGCCCATGTAGGGAGAGCAAGAGGAAAAGCCTGAAAACCAGGTAATGCCTTCTTGAGACCAAGTGCCAGCTACATTTGTGCTTCTGGGACCAGAACCCATGGACCCAGAGGCCAGGTCACCTCTGGGGCCACCACCACACACAGAAAGCCCCACCAAGTGGAGGGCACGCTTCCCACAAGGCCACAGCTGTTGAGGGTTAAGGCAGTGGTACAGGCGGTCAGCCAAGACCATAGGCCTCTCACGGAAAGAATGGATCCTAAATCAAGAGTGGCCACGGGCCTGACCACTGGGCTCCACACGGCACATCACACACTACGTCCTGCTCCAGCCAGAGGCAGCCTCAAGCTGTTGGACAAGAGGAGAGCGGGCAGGGAGGGGGGTGGCCCAACTGGCAATGTGACACACGAGGCCTGCTCACCACCCTGCAGACACACCTCCACAGCTGAACGCACTGCCACGAACATGTGAAGGGGCACGCCATCAGTCACCGGGGCAATGCCAGCGTGACTCGGCTGACCCGAGACAGTCAGCAAAGCAGGGGCAGGCCTCACCAGAGCTGGGTGGTCGCACTACTGACAGGCCAGAGTCTGACCAGGACCACCTCCTTGGCACAGCACAGCACCAGCACACACGGTCTGGTGCACTCTGCCTCAACCTCCACACCCAGCCACCCCTCACTGGCTGCAGCAGGGACAGTTAGGGCAGGCATCTGCCCACCCTCACAGCAGCTGGTGCCAAGGGTCACCAGCAGAGGCCATTCTGCCTCGTCTGATCCTATCCCTCTGCTCCTGGGAGCAGCTGCCTTGATGGTCCCAGTGACATCCTGCCCAGAGAAGACCCCGATAGAGACCTGAGACTGTAGGATATCCACAGGACATGGGGTGCCCTATGCTCAGGTGACCCCTATAACACATCCCAAAGGACCACTCTGAGTGCCACAGGGAAGGCAAGGGGACGGAGTCCAAGCATCTCTGGCCACAGTGT